ACCTCCCAGGGGAGATGACCACTCTACAATCCCTTCTCCTGCATTCTCCTCTCAGGATTCTGGGTACACCAACACACACACGTGCGCATACACATACACACACACACACACACACACACACACACACAAAGTACCCAGCATGATTTTCAAGCCACCAGGTCCAGGACTCAACCTGCAGGTGGCCATGTGGGAGTCTAGCACCTTCACCACCGCGCCGCCTGCTGGACTGTTAACAGGTTTGTGATAGCTTGAAAGTGTTGCTATGACTCTTGCTACGTCCTTCTTTTATATGATGTAAAATAATTTATGTAAAATAATTTTCTTTGGGTATATTCCTGGGAGTGGCATTACGCTAATTTTCCAACATCGATGATACTAAGCTATTCTCCAGAGTAGCTGGGGCAGCTGTCAGCCTCATCCGCTGTGCGTCAGGACCTGTGGATCCACAAACTCCCACATCTGAATCTGAAAGGTGCCAAGTTTTGCCAGGCTATGGAGCAAAATATGCTCCCCCTGTGGCTCCGTCTGTACTGCCCTGACCACCTGGGAGCTAAATAGCTCTCCCCATGTCTGTGGTGCTAGACGTTTTCTGTGGCCCATGCTCCCTCTTCTATGAAACACCTGGTCAGTTCACGTATCATTTTCTTTTTTTTTGGAGAGATTTTCGCTATAGGGCGCATGCGCTCGCCAGACAGACAGAGACATAGAGACAGAAAGCGAGAAATCACCCCCCAGGGGGGATGGTCACGCCGCAATCCCTTCTCCTCCATTCTCCTCTCGGGATCTTGGGCACGCACGCACATGCGCCCGGCGTGAGTTCTAAGCCACCGGGTCCGGGACACGAACCGCGGTCGACTATGTGGGAGTCCAGCGACATAGCCATTACGCTAACTGCTGGTTCCCTACGTATCATTTTTTTTAAAGGTTTTTGCCACATTTTTTTAAAAAGGTTTTTGCCTGGAAATCAAAGGATTTTAATACTGTGGTGGCCGTAGGGTATGTGTGCTTGCCAGAGGGAGACAGAGAAAGTGAGAAATCACCCCCTAGAGGGGGATGGCCACAGCACAAACCCTTCTCCTTCATTCTCCTCTCAGGATTGTAGGCACACACGCACATGAGCCTGGCGTGATGTTCAAACCAGTAGGTCCAGAACTAGAACCGTGGTCAGCCATGTGGGAGTCCAGGGCCTTAATCATCATGCTACCTGCTGGCCTAGGAACCAGTGGGGTTTTTTTTTGTTTTTTGTTTTTTTTTAAGATTTATTTTTTTATTTAAATTCCATTTGTTGTTACTATTTTTAAATTTGACCAGAGAGAGTCAGAGAGAGGGATAGGAAGGGAAAAGCGAGAAAGCAAGCCACCAGGTCTGGGACTCAAACCAAGGTTGGCCATGTGGGAGTCCAGCACCTTAACCACCACACTACCTGCTGGCCCCACCAAGGAGCTTTAACACTGCAGTGTCAGTGTCTTTTCATGAAGCCTTGACATCCAATGACCACCAACGTTCAGAAATGGCGTCAATAACCAGCTGAACGGCTGTGAGCTTTCCCGCACTCCAAATGGCCAGTCAGCCTGTGTGTGAGGACGGTGCTCTCCTCCCGCAGCAACCCAGGGAGCGCTGTATAGTCAGCAACGCAACGACCCGCAACGAACCGGTGTCCAAGTGTCTAACTACCCCCAAGGTGTCCCTGCCCTCGAGGAGCCAACGAGCTATTGCTGCTAACCTGGACCTGAGAACAAGACGAAGTGTTACACGTCGTTTCTAGGAGCTGGGCTTTCCAACTCATGCCAAGCCTCCAGCACTGCTTCACTGTATCAAGTTACACAATATGTCCTTAGGTCCCCTGGGCCCTTTTCCCAGCATGCTCAGAGTCTATTCCCCCTGCCCCCCGTCATCTCCATCTTTGTTCTAGTACATGGTTCTGTTTTTAAAAATTATTTAATTAAATTAATTTATTATTAGTATTCTTTTTGATGAGAGAGAGAAAGTAAACCTCCAGGTCCAGGACTCAAACCATGGTCGGCCATGTCGGAGTCTAGCACCTTAACCACCATGCCATCTACCAGCCCCCATGGTCCTGTTTTTTAACCAACTGCTTAATTCTGAAATTTGGGAGCCCCATTAATAAACAAAGAAGCAATGAATGAGTTACAAGACTAAGTGGACGCTAAAACTAGTGAGTAAAAGTTGATGTAGAGTAGAATATTTACATGACTTCTAAGTATTGCCTTTCAATTACTCATTAAATACAAAAAGAGGGACCAGCAGATGGTGTAATGGTTACATCGCTGGACCCCCACATCCCACATGGCTAACCACAGTTTGAATCCTGGACCCAGCAGCTTCAAACTCACGTGAGGCATGTGTGCGTGCATGCCCAAGATCCCAAGAGGAGAGTGGAAGAGGACTGCGCTGTGGTCATCCCCCCCTGGGGTGGGGGGTGACTTCTCGCTTTCTGTCTCTCTGGCGAGTGCATAAATATAGCAAAAACCTCTTTAAAAAAAATACAAAGAGGAACAGCGATTAACCTAATGGATGCGTCTTGAGCCACATGATCAAGCTCTTTCTATGCCAAGACACGTGAGCACAGGGGCCCCCTGAAGTGGCGGGAGGCCTACAGAAGCGCTGGGCCTGGCTCTGGCCTGGCTCTGCGTCCAGTCAGGGAGAGGGTGATGTCCACAGTCATACTACAGGTGATGCTGGCCAGGTCTCAGCTAAGGTGGTGAGGTTGTGTCTTCACTGCAAAGTTATTATTTTCCCTCTGAAATTAGTAAATATATTGGAGATAATTTGAGAATCCACAAACATCCCTTTCGTCTCCACATTCTCACCCCCTAATTTTGGTTACCGCTGGTGCATCTTGTTTGCAGCGATTGCTACTGTGGCATTTCCAAGAGGATTTTCTCTTTGCTGCTCCTTCCACACATATGAAGATGATTTCATAAGAAAGACTTGCCTCCTCTCTGTTCATTTATTCATCTGTTCACTCACAGACATAAGAGAGTTTATTTTGTTCACGAGATTTTAGTCTAATGTTATCACGACTTATTTTCTTGCTCCAACTGGAGCCACTGTGGCCACTGGGAGTTGTTTCCAGCTAGCTCCCGGGGCCTTTCAAACACTTCTGTCCTCTTGTGAGCCCTGTGCACTCTCTGGCACTCTCCAGGCTCATGGTGTAGGTTTCCTGCCCCAGCACGGAATCGACCACATCCCAAAAGACATTAGCGTGGTAAACGCTACCTGGCTGCATTCTGGAAGCACCACGCTGGCGGCAGCAGTGCAGGAGGCTGAGGAAGACTGAGCAGGGCAGAGCGGCCAGAAGGAGCCTGGCACAATTCAGGACTCATAAAAGCCAGACAGGAGTGGGGGCAGTGGCTCCAGAGAAGACGAGCCAGATCCCTGAGATCTGAGAGGCAGGAACATCAATAAGAGCCCAAGAAGTGAGGGAAGCGGCCTCTCCGAGGATGCCCAGGCTTCTCCTGGGGGCTCTGGTAGTGTATTAGCCAGCACTGGAACAGAGGACGGGGCTCGCTGGGGGAAGGGAGCTCGAAGTGGCCGTGGAGTGCAACGCAGGAGCTATAGAGATGAGATCGCCAGGGGAGGGCGCAGGGCAAGGACAGAATCTTGTGCCTAATAAAGGCAGAGGGACAGACAGGGAGGAGAGCCAGAAAGGCAGACTCTACGGAGAATGGGGCAAAAGGTGCCCAAGAAGCCTGGAGAGGCTGAGTGTTAAGAACATAATCAACAAGGATAGATACGGCAGTCAGGTCGAGATAGACAGACAGGTGGACGTTTCCACCCCTTTTGCTA